TTCAGACAACCTTTGACCCTTTGCTGACGTCACACGTGGGAAAAATCACGTGTCCACAGCATTTGGGTCAGATAGCTGAGGAAAACTGAGTGATTCAGTCGAAAATTTCTGGTGAGTCAAATTTTGAGTTGGAGAACAGTTTAAGTTTTTCATAATGTCTACCAACTCAGATGAACTTTCATGCTAACCTTCACTGTTTTTTCTCTCCAAACCATGGGAACAAAAGTAGGCCGTTCTGATTTTCTAGTTGTAATTTTCCACTTGTTCTTTGTATATAGAGATCGAGCGTGACAAATGAATGATTCTATGACCGCGAACTTTGACATTCAACCCAATCCAACACGGGTGATTTAACAGACCTGAACAATCACCAAATTCAAATGAGGCCACATCAAGTAAATTTTATGGATGACATTCTCCGCAGACTCCAAATCTAATGCGAGCGGGCGAAAAAAAACAAGGCGGGCCGAAAAAAAACAAGGTTCGTACAATTTACAATTTTGACTCAATCATTGTACAAATGGTTTTGATTCAGTGGGAACATCACATATACACAGCCAGCATCACATATCACTGCATCAAAGTAAGAAACAAAACATTAAATCAGAGCCTTGTCTTGTCTCCTCTCTTCATAGTTGTCTGCCATCCACGTTCCGACATGGCAACAGACATCTTCGCCAATTTTCGGCATGTTAACCACTGTCAGAAGGCAACAAAATTTCTTGTTTTTTTCCCAAATCAGGCGAAAATCAATGCGCGCGCTGATGTCATACATAAAAATTACTTGCTGTGGCCTTATGAAATAATAACGGATATTTGACTAAGGGCAGGGTTGTGATCCATGGAAATTTACCTTTAGCACAAAAATGACTGTAATAAAAAAAATCATAACTGCAATTTAATTCTGGAACAAAAAGAGACCAACTAAGACGCTATACATTGGTACTTGTCTTGCATTTTAACATGTATTATAAGTATATATTCATATTCAATTTGGGGCTGTAGAAACATATACGGAGGGCATATATAAACAGCCTTTCTATGAAGAAAGTACAATTGGTATCTAGATATATTAACCGGAGTTGGCCTCGGGTACCCTACCACTTACCCCCAACCGTTTAAACGGTTGTATTTTAAAATCATTCATGCGGATAATGTGCATAGACCGACCCAACTGGATAAGGTCTTGTGTCGGTGTTTTGGTGTTTTTCAAATCCCAGGGGGAAAACAATAGAATTTTCAGTGCCAGATCTCGGCGTTTAAACAGTCCCGTAGCCTGGTATCCAGTCTGATCGTGGTCGGGGCCGAAAGAGCTCTGTCCCGCCCGCCTCACATAGGTTTCCCGGTGTGTATTTCACGAGAGATTGATTAGCCCTCCACGTGTTGGGGGGAAACCAAATCCCCAAGCATACTGTCTCTTATTAGCGTAACTCTCCTACCGGGACGGTCTGTTGCACTGGGCGGGGGAAGCTATTAGAGCCCCCGAAGACACAACCTGCCTGAACACCCCAATACCCCCAATCACGTAAGACTGGATACCAGGCTAACAGTCCCGTTGTTCCTCGCGATAATATGATGGAATGTTGTCCCATGTATCAACTACACGTCGCCCGAGCGACTGTCGAAGGGGCACCGGGGGATGAAACAGAGTTTGTTCGGTCTCCCACGGCGCGTGACACCGCCGAATTACGGGGTGAATCCCGGGGTCGCGTGTGACGTAGCGACCATTGTCTCCCACGTCTTATGGTATTTTCTCCAAGCCTTTGTTTAAGGGCCCCTTGCTGGTTTAAGTCCCAAGCTGACGTGTGCTAGGAAAACCCTATTGAAACCCTAAGGTCCAATCACAACAGGTTTGTTATATCAAGGTGCCCCTATAAGCTCCTTGGTTATATCAAGGGCGTCATCAAGGACATTATGTCCTTGGTTATATTGAAATGGCAGTGCTGTGTTATCGTTGGAATTTGCTAAGTAGGTGATAGGTCACGACTGAAGAGCTGTCTTTATCTAGCCTATCAACAAGATGATATGAAATACATTTTATTTCAAACTGTTCATTCCATAACAACGCTCGAAATGAGTTGACTATTCAAACTTACAATTTATCCCAATTTCTCTAAACTTACAGACCAAGAAAAAACTATTCTTCTTTTCTCTTCCCAAAACCCACAAAGTCTAACCCTTCAGACATAGTTTTAGACATAGTTATAGTTCTAGACAGCTACCTTTATTATGTAGACTTTAGTTATTTTATACTCTGTTTCATTGTTCTTTTATGTTTTGTAATTTGCAATTAGCCTCCAGACACGAATTTGCAATAAACTTTTCATATGAAATTCCATATTATCCAATTCACAATTATATTGATACACTGTACGCATATAAGCTGTGTGTACATGTATGTATATCGAATACTGTGGAAGACGGAACATAAACTTCAAACTGTACGTATACTTTCTATAGCCACGAAAGCTATACCGTATAAACTTCCACACAGATGAAAAGAAAATGTTCAAAACTCACATTGCAGAAAATGTGATCTTCTCTTTTCAGTGTCAAAAAAGGTCAAATCCACCAGGTTTAGGAGTTTGAAAGTTTGTAAATAGCCCTCTGACAAGAATTTGCAATAAACAATTATCAATAATCGATATTTATGAATTTTTATGAATTAATTTCATGAATAAGCGTACACAATTTTTTGACAATGCCATTTAGCCTGAACTCATTATACAGAAGATGTTGACGGAAAAGTTTTTTTTCTTATTAATATACGACCAAAATATTCCGGAAGTATTATATGAAGTGATATTTGACTGAATTACTCTGACGTTAGAATGACCTTTCGAGAAATATCATGGCGTTCTCTTCGTGGTTGAAATACTAATAACATCCGTGTCCATAATATCACCAGGGTCCATAATATCGCTACCTTGAGAAATAGTGTGCTTTTACTGCAACATACTTTTGGTACGCACTCCTTCACACATCAAATGTACATACCTAGGGTATGTTGCAGTAAAAATATCTTTAAGCACACTATTTCTCAAGGTGGCGATATTATGGACTATGGTGATATTATGGACACAGATGTTAAATATTACGTTCATAACATAGCTATTTGGATCAGATATTTTCTGTATTGTGATATTAAAACAAGGTTGACAGATTTACTGTTATACTATGCTGTGATTGTGTTCATGTCATTAAAAAGAAACCAGGCACACTTAAACAATCGGCTGTAACCACTACGTGTCCTCGATTCCCATATCATATTGTAAGATTGTAATAATGCCCGAAGCGTCGCGCATCATACGCGTTATTAATAATTCAAAGCCACTCTTATTGTTGTGATGAGTTTGACATGGACTCTGTATTGGCGTGCATATAATATTGTTGATATTTCTCGACCCAATTTGTAGCTAGCGCCATGCATATCTTTTGATTTCATGCATTGTGTACAACTCAAATTGCCTTTATCGTACACTAATATTAGCCTCTACCAGGCACCTACTACCAGGCACCGTGGATCGCTGGAAAAATAGTAGAAATTCGCGAATTGGATCTTCTATGGCCCGGGATCTTCTCTGGTATACTATCCCTTTATTTCGGCCAATTTCTACTATTTTTCCAGCGATCCGCGCGGTGCCTGGTAGAGGCTACACTAATATGCTGTATCTGTAAACAGATCGTAGTTGGATATAATTATAATGTACGTAGAAAAGGAGGTTCATAATTATAGGCATCTCTCTAACGTAAGGCTCTAGGTAGGACATAGTATCCGGATCGCACGAAATAAAATCGGACTCTACAAAATTATGATGTTTCTCCACGACATATTCCCAGTCTTCGTGATATCTGTGATCTTGCAAGACGAGACATTAAGACCACCTGGTCTCTTTAGTGACTTAAGGCATTAAGGGAAGAAGAGTTGGGGGACGGTCGGTCGAAGCCGCGACCTTAATACGTCGTTACCTATACATGAATCCACACGACTGATATACGGATCGTACTGTTTATGCTAGCTGGCATATTAGGTGGGTTTCTAGTTTAGTATCATGTAGAGAAGTGGGTTAAAATTTTACTGTGAAGTATAAGATATGTCCCGAGGGAGTGTGGTGTCCCAAATGTTGAATACAAAGAGAGACAGAGGACACTTAATACCGTCGTTACCTATACATGAATCCACACAACTGATATACGGATCGTACTGTTTATGCTAGCTGGCATGTTAGGTGGGTTTCTAGTTTAGTATCATGTATAGAAGTGGGTTAAGATTTTACTGTGAAGTATAAGACACGTCCCGAGGGATTGTGGTGTCCCAAATGTTGAATACAAAGACAGAGAAGACACACATACATACCATCACACATACGTACTCATGGCATATTAGGCGGGTTTCTAGTTAAGTATCATGTACAGAAGTGGGTTAAAATTTTACTGTGAAGTAAGATATGTCCCGAGGGATTGTGGTATCCCAAATGTTGAATACAAAGAGAGAGAGAGGACACGTATACATACCATCACACGTATTACGTACTCACCTAGCCAGGGCGTTCCGAAACAGCGGCATATCTGAGACCACCACCGCGGCCGCCGGGTCGTGGGACAGCGTCCTGTTCCTCCCGTCCCACGAGAAGATGCTCCTCGGCAGCTCCGCCATGAAGTTCTCCATCCTGACGGCGCCCACCGCCATGTTCCCCATGCCGATCCCGTTGCTTCCCCCACCGCCGCCGCCGCTCGGTCTGTACGGTGGTAGCGCCGCCATCTTGGTTATTGCGTGACGTGCCCCGTTTTAGACCCCCTGTCTGTCAGCACCTGTATTGTACTGCCACAACAGCCAGATAATGATTCTTTATGACAAGAGAGCTCCCGAGAATTAACCGTAGAATACTGCATTTCCGTTCGTGTTTATATGAACTAAATCAGCGAACAATAGCTGAAGCAATATCTAATTCGTTTTTTGGGTTCGGGTGTATTACTTCAACTATTGACGCATCTTTTGTACACGTTAATTCAATAAGTAGTATTTTGTTATATCAGTTTTGTATTGAGTGATATGATGTTGGAAGGTGAAGGGAGATATTGTTTGGAGAATTGTTCTGAAGAAGCAGAAAACATGAAAGAAATTAAACCCAACGAGGCACTTCCGCTTTCCGGCTTAGTCCAAATTAGGCCACAGCAAGTAAAATTTATGGATGACATCAGCGCGCACATTAATTTTCGCCTGGTTTTGGAAGAAACCCAAGAAATTTTGTTGCCCTCTGATAGTGGTCAATATGCAAAGACACTCACGTTTGAAGCTCTGTAATTTTACCATGGTAGTTCAGTAGCTTGAATTGTGCTTTGAAATCAAACTAGAAAGGTAACATTCGCAAAGCAAATGCATAATGTGATTGCATATGGTCTGCTCTGTTAATTCTTACTCAAACACATTCATATATATGGTCAGACAGGAGTCTAAATCCCTCCTGCTATAAAATTGCAACATGATGTAACCCAACGCTAGTTATCATGGTGACAGACGTCTGGCTCAGGTCATTGACCTTATTGGTTTGGAGAAGAAGAGGAAACATAGCAAAAACAATATGTTTTCCTTCGGTAAACATAAAAACCTTAATTCGAATCCTTCGGAAACAGTCTAAGATTTACCTTGTTTGCGTTGACTCCCCAAGACAACCTATTTAACTCATGCACGAGACTTTCCAAGAATACGTCCCTGTCCTTTGTTGTTTTAACATTCACGGTCACGTGGTCAACAATTAAACAGGCGGAGTCAACAAGTCACTCTTAAAAGGTCACGGTCAATCTGAAGAAGAATGAGACGAACTCCTAAAGGCACAATGACGGGCTACAACGACGTGGCATCCAACCACCCTTGTCGTCCATAAAGTAGGGCCTAGCCGTTGCCATAGTAACCATTTAAATCAGGACGATTATTTCAAAGCCCTACGTTTGGTCACACCAATTTAACTTGTTGGTTCAGTGATTCGCCCGCTTCTATTTTTCCTGATTTGCAAAAAAAAATTCAGCCTCTTAACTCCAAAATACTCCAATATTTTAGCCTCAACAGTTGAAAGAAGTCCCTTCTCTTCAGAGTTGCTTTAGTTTTTCCATATACCAATACAGTGGTTTGATTTAAGAGTTCCAAATTCATTCAGCCTGATATGTTGACTTCATGGCTTCTATAATAGCATTTGGGGCTATTATAGAATGCCTAGGTTATTTTTTTCGCCCCGTTGCATCTTTTTTTTTTCTTAAAAAATCCTAGAACCAAGATATCAAATTGGTGTGGCCTTAACTTTCCTGACTAAATTATGTCATATTATGACAGAGATTTAGGTGGTAGGTACATCATTGATCTAAATCTGTCGAGCTATTGTCATGTCTTTGTCTTATGTAGTAAAAAGACTTACATTTGTACAAATAACGAATTCTAAACGATAACTACATCCTAAATTAAAGTAAAAAGATGTGCAAGTCACAGCAGTCTTAAAACAAGACGTGTCTGCTTTATTTGACAATTTATGCCGGTACATTAAAATACACAAGCAAACATATTACACAAGTAGTTTTGATATTACTATTAATAGAATTCTAAAAGATAAAGATCCTGAAAGATGTTTAAGTCACAGGATTCTTAAAACAAGACGTGTCTGTTTATTAGATAATTCATTCAAGCTTGCACACAAGCAAACATACAGAAGTAGTTTTGATATTATTATTAATAGCAACATGACAAAAATATATGTATTCAACGTACGTACTACTGCATGCAGCTACGCTTTGCTCAGAGTCGTAATTTTTGCGGAAGGGAGGGGGGGTAGCCTGACTAAATCTGCGCTCCTAGCGGCCAGCCCGGTATTACACCAGCCGTCCCCAGGTGGTGTAATACCGGGCCGGCCGCTAGGAGCGCAGATTTAGTCAGGCTAGGGGGGGGTCATCATTCCATCATTACATTCTCCATGCTACCCTCTTGGATCTCCTGGGTGTTCTCGGAGTTGCAGTACCGCGGACAGGCGTCCGGTGACGCGCTGCTGCCACCCGGCGTCCAGGCGTCAGCCTCCCCGGCGTTCTCGGTCCCTCCCCGCGCTGTTGCCGGGCTAGGGCCAGCCGCCGTGCCGACGTCCGGGTTGTTCTCACCACGGGCTGCTGACGTCTGGGCAATTAACAGACGGAAAAACCTGGATGTGTACCATCAGCAATGTTTGTCAGCAGTATGGGTAGCCTGGATGCCAGACCCCTAGTACACTAACATATATCCTACGTTATATATTCATCATGTCAGCCATGTTCCATATAGATACATGTACTATATTAACTTTTGAAATAGAATGTTATTTTCGATACATAGAACTTGTAGGTAATACTGTAGACGTGAGAGTAGATGCTAGCTAGATATGTAGTACTGAAGAGTTTGCCATGCATTGTACCCGTTACAATTGTTGTGCAATAAAGATTGACTTGACTTGACTTGGTCTAGTTAAGGGTCTGACATCCAGACTACAGTGGGGGCAATTGCAACACACACATGCAACAAAAGGGGCTATGAAATAATAAAGAATCAATTTGGAACTAGAAAGGTAACATTTGCAAAGTAAATGCACAATGTTTACCTTCGCATATGGTCTGCTCTGTTCATCCGTACTCAAAACACATTCACATGATATAGTCAGACAGGAGTCTAAATCCCTCCTGCTATAAAATTGCAACATGATGTAACACAACACTAGTAACCATGGTAACACACAGTCTCACCGATCGTGTGCCCTTAAGGCACTTAACACGACTTTCCTCACTTCATTCAGGTGAAAATGAGTGCCTAGCTTTGGACTTCACTTTGATAGGACGTTCAATGGAGGTCCCGTGTTTGGGGAGAGCCACACCCCAGGCACGTTCAAGAACCCACCTTTCGAAAAAGAGTAGGGGCATGCCCCGGTGTGCGATGGTGATCTAATGATTCAACGGACTCCAGGAAGAGTAGTGTGAAAATGCACACTAATGGAGATCCTAAACAAACAAACAAACAAACAAACAGTTCGGTCCCTGTGATGCATGTACCTGCGAGGTCTCTCTGGTTCCTGTACTGTCACCCTCGGACGGACGCGTGGTGCGGGAGGGTCGGGAGAGTCCAGGACAACTACCACTGCGATGTGAGCACAAACCCTGCACACGGTAGAGACAGATAACCTGCTAGTTATGATGCAATCCAGGGCAGACAGTACAATTACCTTTGGCCATAGAAGCCTGTGGTTTAATATACTGAAACAAGTCCCCAATGAAAGTGCTTTATCACATTTTCAATTGTCCATCCGCCCTGGGCATGCCAGAACTCATCACTCAGGTCACACATTAAAACTGGTGAAATGAACAAAATTTGACCAAAGTTTAGACCCTACCTGTTCCTTCTAGCCCAAAAGTCTTCCCCTAAAAAAACTACTTATGTCATGTCCAAACGCAAAATCCTGGTACATAAGTCAATATATCACTATCCGCTTAACTCAAAAGTAATCTATCATTTCTGACTCAAACAGGTGATATTAACTTGGTTTCCTGTGTTTTATCATGTAATCCATGTTTCTTATCAGTCCTATAAACTAGCGTAGTGTTTATATCGAACTCATTAGCAGTGTATACGCAAAGGCGAAGATATTAGTGTTGGTATTTAGTACTGCTCAATAACTTGTCACACATAGTGCCTGTTTGTACAATAAAGGTTTGGTTTGATTTTTAGAGCATCGGCTACCTACTTAATCAATCAATCAATCAAACAATCAATCAAACAATCAATCAAACAATCAATCAAACAATCAATCAAACAAACAATCGATTGAACTTCACCTCCGATGTTCCACCAATTCCCACTTCCACAACTCCTCCTGACAACCGTCGTTAGGGCAGGTGACCACGCCCAGCTGTCTCTGCGCCAGAATGGAGTCCTCAGGGATGATCGGTCTGGGATAAATAGATTACAGACATCCAATGAGATTTCAGGACAGCAAAGATATTCTGGATGAGGAAATATGTCTGATATTAACATTTACTGCCATTTCATAGCACATTAGTAGTATTAGTAGCAGTATATTATGCAGTCACCTGAGGACACACCCTACTACAGAGGGATGACAAAGCGGTCCTCGTCAACCTGACGGACGAACGACATATTATGCTATGAAATTGCAGTACTAAACATTTTTGTCGTCATTTCATACTTGACGCCTTTGAAATAACCCAACAACTAGCATCGCAAGGCGTCCCTCTATTTTGTGGTACCACCATAAATAGCTAGAACCAGCCTTCAATACAAAATAAGCAACCGTTTTCTATGAGTGACATCGCATTTTTGCCTCACAGATATCATAATGCTATGGGATAGAATTGATTCAACTAATTAGTAGATTCAACTAATTAAGTCACTAAAATTGACTAAAAATCCATTTTTGCCGCCCTGGCCCTGAAATTCCATGAAATTTCTGAGATAATATATGTTAACCACCGCAGTTCCTAAATTGGACAGCGTAGATCTATATGGTGTCTTCACTCGCACACCGCCAAATTGCGGTGGTAGCAGAGCAAACAGCGAATTAAATTTGACACAAGGTTCCATGATCTCTTACAGTATAAAAATCTATGTTAATTACACCTAGCGATCCGAAGAGGAAAGACAACCCGTGGTAGCAGAGGAAACAGCGAACTTGACACAAAGATACACGAACTCTTTACAGTATGAAATTCCATGTTTATGACACCTAGCGATCCGAATAGGAAAGACAACCCGTGGTAGCAGAGGAAACAGCGAACTTGACTCAAGGTTCCATGATCTCTTACAGTATAAAATTGCATGCATGCATGTTTATGACACCTAGCGATCCGTAGAGGAAATCCGTAGACAGCCCGTACCTTTTCTGACGGAAGCAGCCCTCCTCTTGGCAGACCGGGCAGCACTTCAAACTGAGAGTCCCCGAGTCGTCGTACAGACAGGACTCACACACACGGTGCTGGCACAGGCCTGTCACCATTCTCAGTCGCGGGGCCAAGCAGATTGGACAATTGAAACTGCGAAAACATTATGAAAGTTTAGTTTATTGCAAATACTTGCCCGAGGGCTAATATTGCAGTTACAAACAACATAAGAAGGAAAATACTGTGTATCTACGTCTTGCATTATACTATATTCTACAACATACATGGTACTAGTACTAGTTTTACTGGGTTTGACGACTTCTTTTTAGGCAATGGAAGACGAATTTACCCACTTCTTCTATTATATGTAGGTTCTTTGATTTCAGTAGTAAAATTGTTTTTTGTGGTAGGGAATGGTGGGGAAGTAAGGGAGCATTTTGGACACGGTGCTAAATAATTGTTTTCTGATGTAGACGCAACGCTATTATGTATTTTTTTTGCGAAAATGACTTCGTCCCCATATGAATATCTGTGGTTCCCTGCTTTACAAATCAATAACTGAGTCAAAGTATGGCATCTACTGGTACATAATGTTAACTACAATTTTATAAGGCTAACCTACATAATGCACGAGCGTGGGGCTAGTATGGGATGGAAATGAGCTTTTATAATCATTGTAGGAATTTCTAGCGTCTAGAACTTTACAAATGCAATGGTGATGTTACCACTGCATATCTTCTCCCCTACTGGTAGTAGCCTGGTATCCAGTCTGATTCGTGGTCGGGGCCCCAAGAGCTCTGTCCCGCCCGCCTCACCGTGATAAGCTTCCCGGTGTGTATTTCACGAGAGATTAATTAGCCCTCCACGAACATATCGTGTTGTGGGAAACCAAATCCCCAAGCATACTGTCTCTTATTGGCGTAACTCTCCTACCCGGGGACAGCCTGTTGCACTGGGCGGGGGAAGCTATTAGAGCCCCCGAAGGCACAACCTGCCCGAACGCCCCAATACCCCCAATCACGTAAGACTGGATACCAGGCTACTACTGGTAGTTGACGGTAAAACACAGACAGGAGCTCTGTGAAGTCATGACTGATTCAAATGCAGCGTGTAACATGGCCGGGTGTCAGCCGGCAAAGGCTATACAGGACAAGCTGTCTCTTTCCGACTATATCCTATACCTTATAACTAAATGGGAATGTTAGTAACGTCAATTATAACAAGCGATACCTGTCTTCCATTTCTTTCTGGGCCCGTTGTGGACTCTCCATGGTGTAAGCTGCCTCGGTCACCGTGTAGATGCAAGAACGACAAGCCTTGACTGATGACTAGTACTGTACCCCGTTCTCCTTGGTGCGTATGCCCTGTGAAATAAGCCCGCGAATTTTCAGGTGTCAGAAAAACGGCGGGAAAAAGTGTGCCAATGCTGACTGTCCATCACAATTGGCTTAGATTTCAACCAATGATGAGCCTGGCAAATTAGTGGTTGGACCATTCAGAGGACTGCATCGTGGAATAGCATTTTCATGTATTAAGTTAGCACACAATTCCTGTCCAATCCGAAGGACAATACAGGGGTGCCAGAGTATATACAGTGTAATTTTACGGAATACAGCGCAAATAGTATACAGTGCAATTTTACGGAATACCGTGCAATCGTATTAGTATACAGTGCAATTTTACGGAATACAGTGCAATGGTATTAGTATACAGTGCAATTTTACTAGAATACAGTGCAATTTTGTAAAATTGCATTGCGTACTAATACGATTTCACTTAAATTGCACTGTATACTAATGCGATTGCATTGTATTCCGTAAAATTTCACTGTATACTAATACCATTGTACTGTATTCCGTAAAATTGCACTGTATTCCGTAAAATTGCACTATATACTCTGGCACCCTGTACATGCAGAGCTGTACATGTGTATACTAAAATATAACACTGCACTCAAACGGACTAAGCCAACCTTTGAACTTTGCTCTTTGCCCTGAGATATAACCCGGAAGTCCACAGCTAGTCCAGCTAGTCCAGCTGTCTGCTGTTTGACGAGTTTTACGAGGATAACGGTACACGTTAGATCGCCCTGACTCGATTTGTTTGTGGGTGTGAGCAACTCCACGTCGAAGAAGGTAACTGTTTCTGTATTTTTAGTCCTGAAGGGGATTGAATTTGAGCCTCATTTCAGCTAACGTTACATAGGGCATGGAGGTAGAGGCTAGAAAAAGCATACATAGGGTTAGTATATAGGTTTGCGTCTGGGCATAGGCTGTCCTTTTCGATCGTTTCATTGTATTTTCCAAATAGCTCAGCGAGTTATGATGCTTGCTTTGTGTTTTATCACGATGTACATAGCATTCCTAAGATCACCATATATATACAAGACCGCAGCATAAGTTAAAGTCATTACTGCCATACTAGTAGTACTTTACACATCACCATCCCTGTGGTTTTAATACAACCTGCTAGGTGGCGCTCCTGGGTGGATCAGGCGAAAAAAAAAACATGCAATAAAAACATAAGTATACAATGTATCATCTTGATTCGTGTGCTTCTAAATAAAGATTCAGTGGGACGATACGTTTTAGTAATATACCAAGGAAGGCAGTAGATTGTGCTGAACATATTTGGAGCATTCTTTTCGACTTTGATACAGAAGAACTTTATTGCACGACAATTGCACAAGGTACATGTATGGCAAACTACAGAAAGAGAGTAACAAACAATAAAAAAAATGTTGAATAAGACCTAATGTCGAATAAAACCTAACATATCTTAATTATTCAAACAGTAAGGGCTAGCACAAGTCTTTGATAAAGTGTTACAATCTAGTGGGGTAATGACAAGTTTCGGTATTTTTTCCAATAACAAAGCATTCCTTTATATATCTACCTATTTTTGCGTTGTGGGGACCATTACATGTACATATACATAAGGATACTAGTACGTTTCTAGGCAGATCAGAGAATCCAAGTGGTTTCCCCAGGACATGTATTTTGTACTTGATCGTAACCGTTGACCATATCTCAAACCATGTGCTGACTACTAAGTATATCCACAGTGGGCCGGAGATCACGTGAATGTGTGGTCAGTCGTGGGTCAGCAGTAAAGTTTACCTCTGTGGCGAAAGGTCATTTAGAGACGACTTTGGCAACCACAAGTCGAATTTGGATCGACGCTCATTACATGAGGTTAGTTCTTAGACCCCCTTGGTTAAGCTCCTTAGTTAGAAGATATAAACGTTTATGTAATATGTTAGATAGAGAATTATCACTGTACTGGGTAGATATTCTAGTACTGTCTTGGAAAATTTGCCTTGTCATGATGATCATGCGTTGACTACATGGCATGGTACCCATCCCTATCATATCATTGCCAAGGCTCTTTAATTTCGTCCTCTCCGCGAATCCTATATGGGGATGGGTAGGAGATGACATGGCAGCATTTATTAACTTCCTTGATGGCAGGGACCATGTTATATGATACTAGTAATACAGAATGTACTAACGAAAGCTGGTAGCACCCCTTCTAATCTATGTAACTTAGTATAGTCCATCGTGGATCCTAAGTATGGTGTGCTGCAGTACGATGTATTTAGAAGTAGCACCTCCACCTCCTTGCCAGTAGCGTAATGAGCCAAGGAATTAGCACCCCCCCCCCATCCGTAAGTAACGTATTTCAGAATACAGGTCTACGTATACTGTAAAATGGACCCGGCCTTCACCTAAATGTATATTTGCCAATGGATGTTTGTTTTGCGTCGGTGTGTTTACCGTAATTTCTATGGGGCAAACGTGTAGGTGGTAGAATTAGCGTTAGATCTCCGTGAATACGGTTTAGGCCACACTGATTTAATTTTATGGATGACATCCAAGCGCTCATTGATTTTCGCCTGTTCTAAAAAAAAAACACAAAAAAACATCCTCTGAGGCTCTGGCGTGGATGTCATCCTCCGTAGTCTATGGCACAGCAGGGAGCCGGCGGTAACTACGGAGGACAGTACTACCTAGGCAACCAAAGCTCCACGGAACTCCAGAACTTGAAGTACAGACTACAGAGTCGACTCATAAATGCCGCAAAATAAAAGGGCAACATGTGCCAGCCTGTTGTAAAAGTCGCTATGTACTACTCCGCAAATTCGCAATGCCAGCTTTGTATTCCAACTGGTTTAGGACAATTTTGTTTCGGCTGGAATTTTTTTATTCGCCCGCGCGCACTAGTTTGGGGGCCTTCAGAGGATGTCATCCATAAAATTTAGTCAGTGTGGCCTTACAGAAGGAAGTTTATTGGAAGTAACAGTGCCCGGTGTTATACAGGTTACAATGGCCGGTTTTATCAAAACGTGGACCCACCAGGGGATCACTCTCCCTACGCCCGTCTATCTAAATTACCGCTACGGGGAGTTGAGCCCAAGGCCGAACTCCCTACTACAAACTCCCCCCCCCCCGGGTTAGTCTCCCCGACCGGCGGGCGAAGGGCTCTAGGCTGCCGAAGGAAAACAGCTAACGGCCCGATACTAGTTTGGCACCCAGGGTAGGTCTTCTTCTCCAAACCAATAAGGTCAATGACCTGATCCAGTCTATCACCATGGTAACTATTGTCGGGTTACGTTATGTCGAAATTTTATAGCAGGAGGGATTTAGACTCCTGTCTGACCATATATATGAATGTGTTTGAGTAAGAATTAACAGAGCAGACCATATGTGAAGGTAAACATTTTCTTTGCAAATTACCTTTATAGTTTAAACTCTTAGACCTTGCATAATGCTTTAGTCCAGAAATTAAAGAAAAGGCTTCGATTTAGTTAGTAACTTTAAAGATGTGATCAAAGCAATTCTTGCAAAATTGATCTACCTATATTTACATATTTGGATGTACCATTATAATAACAGATCTCTACTGGAGCAACAAAGTGCACTGCAATAGTCGAGAAACAAAAAGCACTACGGTGAATGACAGTCACATTATACGTGTGAAGGTACGGGCCAATGCCAGTAAACTTATAACCTGGTATCTGGTCTATCGTGTTTGGGACAGACTGTCTTCGGGGCTCTAACAGTTTCCCCCCGCCCAGTACAACAAACCGCCCGGTAATAGAGTCTGACAGACACGGCGGGAGTTGATTTCCCCCACCACCTTACCCTGGAAGCCAGAACTCGTTTTCCGGGCCGCAAAAGCCCTTCGCCCGCTGGTGTAAATTACCGCTACGGGGGAGTCTAGCCCGGGGCGGACAAAACCATCGGGCTCAACTGCCCCGTAGCGGTAATTTAGGTAGGCGGGCGAAGGGCTCTCGGCTGCCGAAGGAAAACGGCTAACGGCCCGATACTAGTTTGACATCCAGGGTACCACCACCTATAATCATAATCCCGCCGTGAAAAATCTACCGGGGGAACCTAGCTCAGGCGGGCGGGGAAGAGCCTCAGCAGCCCCGAAGAAATCCCGCCCCAACCACGATAGACTGGATAGTAAAATTGTTTTCCAGGGACAAACTGGGTTGCAGAGATCGTCGTTAAGATCCTACGAGCCGCGGGAAAGACGAAGGAAAGCGTGGACAGCCTGTCCTTCGGGCCCATGGAGATGACACGACCGACCGCCACCCAGCCGGGCTACGTCGCGCTCCTAGACATGCCCTCCCCCCGCCTGGTGGTAACACACCTGCCGATTCAGTTTGCACCGAAAGGGGTATCCAAGCCACAGAATAAGGTAATCTCAAAATGTACAATATTTACAATACATAAGTCGTAGGAAACTTGTCCTGGGATATCTACTTTTGCTGTGAAACAGGATATTAATTTTGGGATAAAGGAGATCATGTGAAATGCATAACTACGGTTTGGGTCGTAGCAAGATGCCAACAAAATGTACAAATTACATTGTTGACAGCCACTGAACACGGAGTATGGCGCATTCACAGGTTTCTGTACTTTTCAGTACTTTCTGTACTTTTCAGTCAGCCCCTTTTGTTCATAGGCCTTCCCAGCACTTCTCTTTGCAACGGCTGTTGCGGCAGCTATTTTCTCAGTTTCAAAAGTTGAGACACAAAATACATACTAAACAATGCAGGACACCTTGCTGAACATGATTCTGTAAATGTAGGACGTCTGTCAAAAGTACCTTATCAGGGGTTTTTCTAAACCAGGGAACAAGGTCACTGCTCCCTCATGTAACCAGCCAGCACCCCCATATCAATTTTCAGATTGAACCCTTAGTGGCTACATACACAACATTAAGTCTTTCTCAAAATGATCTTTTTCCATTGAACATATAAAAACAAAATGTCTTAACAATGCATTCTAGCATTACAAACTGTGTTACTCTTGTAAAAAATCCAAAATCCTGCGCCAACACCCCCCCCCCCGCCCGATCTAGCCTCCACCAGGCCTTTCTACGGGAATACGGATCGTAGAATTCGGCAAAAAAGAGAATCAAATGGGCCAAGGGAGTCCGGCCGCGGGAAGGTAGTTTCTTCCTTTCCGCGGCACAGTCAAACCCCAAGGCGGCCAAACTCCCCTGGCAAATATTCTCCTATATATAGCCAGCATAGTTAGTCTGGTTGAGACTACCCCCTACTCAGTCGCTTTGCTCCCTCGCTATGCTAGTGATCTGCTCCCTCATGGTAAATTCTAGAAAAACCCCAGCCTCTCATCTCGCGCTCTGTTTAACTCATGACAGGTGAAAGTCCTGGTGCCGATGAGAAACCCGAAGGACACGGCCGTGTCGATGTACCATTTCCGTGCGAAAATGTTGAAACTGGCGGGTGCGAACGCAGAGCTGCCTTGGGAGAAGTTTGCTCAGGACTTCTTAAACGGAACAGGTATATCAGTACCAGTAATTATTTGTATTTGTATGACAACTTTCTCTGCCATCACTAGAAATGAATTGGGACTTAGTGTTGCGCATCCACTACAGATAGAAAAAGGCCGCTATAGAACTAGAAAACTACCTGTGCACGAGAGATTATGTAAATATTGTACAATGAATGCAGTGGAAAATGAAATACATTTTGTTAGCCAGTGTCCTCACTATGAGACCGAAAGAAACAGATTATTTCAGACAGTTACAACAATTTCTCCATCCTTTCGTCATTTAGAAGATCACCAAAAACTGCATTTCTACTAAGATCACAAAACCCACTAATTATGCAGAATGTGAGACTATTCATTATCCACTGCCTTCAAAGAAGAAGTCGAACCCCATAATAGCTAGCGTAGTAGTAGAAGTAGAAGTTTTTTCCAGACAGTTGTTACCTGTCTCCTGTTACTGTACTGTCCTAATGAGTATTATACTTGATTGTAAAAGCAATTAGCCTACGGGCACGATTTTGCGAATAAAGTTTGATAATAGAATTGAAATTATCGTCTGATTATCTATGCCTAATTATTCACCACACTTTTGTACCCAGTGCCATTTGGAGACTACTGTGACCACTTGTTAGGCTGGTGGCAGATGCGTGATGATCCCCACTTCCTCTTCCTTAAATATGAGGACATGAAAAAGGTAGGGTACACACTATCATGAATTCCATACCAATATGTATTGGCCTGTTGACAGAATATAGCTATGCAAGAATGAAATTTTCATAGCCTCCTGAGTAATATTATCTTGGAAGTCCACAGTAGGCTTGATTTTTATGGGTAATAAAACTAACGGCTGGAATAATATCAACTTTCTCACAGGCTACCTTTTTTCTTTATCTCTTTTGTAATATTTTTTTGTAAATTATAATTTATAACTTCTAATAGAAGGGGAAAATCACACAAACATATGTATATATATATATTGGCAAACGGGGATAATGTTTCAAGCCATTATGTTCAAATTGTTATGAACCATGATTACTGAATAGGTTCCAATCATATTTTCGTACTTTGTATGTATTTTGTGTCCATTTATTTTTATGTAGTACCTGTGACATGCATGTCTGTTTATGTTTGTTTTGTTTTATCTTCCTGTGAAAATTGAATAAAAAGAACGTGAAAAATCTTTTGGCGAAGGTAAAAAAAGTCTAGGCTAGAAAAAAACACTCTAACTGTTCTCTTGTTTTTCTTACAGGATCTGCTGAGTGCTGTAAAGAAAATCGTTGCATTTCTGGAGGTTGACCTGGATGAATCGACCGTAAAAGACATCGCAGAGGCCAGCACTTTTAACAACATGAAACCAGACCTGGACAGTTCCAGTATGGCGGAGAGGAGGAATATTGCCAGGAAAGGTCAGTATATGCAGCCTCCATCGCAGACGGTCACGTGCGTGTCGGGGGCGGGGCGTTGATTTTTCTTCGGGGAGCGACGCGAGTTATGCCGCGGAGGGAAGGTTATATATCAATGGTTTATTGTGCATTAAAACACAACATCACTGTCCCAAAAATGGCAGCCAGAGGCTGAATTGACATTGGGGCATCACATTAATAGTATAAAACGACATATTAAGCGATTAAAATAGAAATAAACCGTTATATAAAATGTATATAAGATATAGTCAACGTTTCAAGTGCAAATTAATATCATAGCAGATAACAAAACAGACGGACACTGGTAACACTAAAATTATAAGTCTTAGGTTAAAAAAGGTGACAGTGTTACATATTAAGCAGGCGGATCATGAAAGGAAGGGCACTATTCTGGTAACGATCAGTTCTGCTGCGAGGAGTGTTTCAGGTTTTGCCGCCGAAGGACTTTGCCGGGGAAAGACGGTTTCTCCGCCTAATCCCAGTCCCTTTCAGGACGCCGAATGCAAGCTAGCAGACTTGTTAGCCGGCGGCGAAACCGTCTCTCCCCGGCAAAGTCCCTCGGCGGCAAAACAATCCCGCCGCGGCATAACTCGCGTCGCTCCCCGAAAAAAAGGAACGTTGCCGCCCACGAGTCTGCGAAAGAGCTCGAGACTAGGTTTCTGAGCCATTGCCCTTCAAAAATATCAGAGACGAGGCGAAGTACAACCAAGCATAATATAGCCTGAGAACCGTCATTTCTAGTTCTGTATGTTTTTTCTTTCGCACACAGGAATCATTGGAGACTGGAAGAACACTTTCTCTTCAGAGGAGAGCGCGGCTTTCGACGCCTGGTATGAGAAGAAACTCACTGGTACAGGACTCACATTCGACTTCGAATAAACTCACGTTTATCATACTAAAATAATTGTTTCAACATTTCTAACAATTTATAGTGGTGACGCACTATGTATTATGACGAACGTTGTGCCCTTGTAATTGGGAAAGGCACTTAACATGACTGTTCTCACTCCACCCAGGTGTGAATGGGTACCTAACTTCGGTTGGGGAAAGTCGTATTGAGGTCACCTTGTGGCGCCGAATGGCAGCCGCACAGACCCTTGCGACAGTTCCACAAAAAACAAATATGTGTATCATGTGTATTATTTGATTGTTGTAATTGTTGTGATTCGTATTGATTATTATGTGTTACCCTGCATCAATTCAGCCGTATAAAGGCTGCGACTGCACGGGTACTGTTTGGACAATAAAAACCATTTATTATTATGTATTTCTAACAACGCATAGTGGTGACGCATTATGTACTGTGACGCACTATGTATTTATAACAACGCATGGTGGTGACACACTATATACTGTGACGCACTATGCATTTCTAACAACGCATGGTGGTGACACTATATACTGTGACGCACTATGCATTTCTAACAACGCATGGTGGTGACGCACTATATACTGTGACGCACTATGCATTTCTAACAACGCATGGTGGTGACACTATATACTGTGACGCACTATGCATTTCTAACAACGCATGGTGGTGACGCACTATATACTGTGACGCACTATGTATTTCTAACAACGCATGGTGGTGACGCACTATGTATTTCTAACAACGCATAGTTGTGACGCACTATGTATTATGGAGCTTATATCAACGTTAACGTCAACACTGGACATAAAATAATAATTACTACAATCTACATGAGACAAAAATATGAAAAGGTGAACGTCCGATATACAGCAACAGAATTAGACTGTTAAGATGATGTTATCGTATACAGCTTGAATTAGCAATGGAATCGCTTAGTTTCAGATAAATATAATCGTGCTAGCGAAAATGTAGTGTTGATTTCAGATGATAGGTGATCCTTTGAGTAACAGATAGCACTATCAGATTGTATAAAGACAGTATCACCATCAGATTGTATAAATTGTTAATATTTAACATTAAAATATTGTTGATACAGTGTGTATCTAAAATTGAAATAATGAAATTTACAGGTAAAATGATTGAAAATGAATCTTAAGATGAAAACATACCGTACGAGGATCCTATTCTCCACCGAATGTCAGTCTTATCTTAAGAAAGGAAGCTATTAAAATTATGCTTAAGGTTATGCTTCACTTAACTTAGAAATGCCTCAAGTATATTATATGACTTGTGCTAGCCCTTATTGTTTGAGTAATTAAGATAGGTTACGTTTTATTCGACATTAGGTCTTATTGAAAACATTTATTTTATTGTTGTTACTCTCTTTATGTAGATTGCCATACATTGTACCATGTGCAATTGTCGTGCAGTAAACTTCTCATGAAATTCCCGGCAGTTACTACCATGGAACATGTAAAAATGTATTATTATGGTTATGATTAAAAAATTATGGTGGGGTCGTGTGGCGCAACGGCAGCGTGCGCGACTCGGAATCAAGAGGTCCCGGGTTCAAGTCTTGACATGCCACCGATCTTGTGCCCTTGGGAAAGGCACTTTACACTACTTTCCCCACTAGACTCAAGTGAAAATGAGTATTGTCTGTCCAGTATTCGTTTCTATGTGCAGGACACAACACCAGCAACAGCTGCCTCTGTTCCGCGTGTATTGCATTGTTGCAATTTCAATAAAATCAAATTAAAAAAAAATAAAAAAAATGTAGCTGTAACGTGTTAACTGCCCTCCGCTTTCAATATTAATGGAGGAGTCGCATGAAGAAAAAAAACGCACCCACGTGTTGAAAACATAAAAACAGGTAACATAAAAAGGTTGTGCTGTTTGTCCCTGAGTTCAGTTTTTAATGCATACTACGGTTCAGATGTCAGCATACCAGCTGAAATCAGTCTGGCTAGCGCTTGCGTACGTGATGTACTACAGAAGGTCTTTCGTAGGTGCGCATGCGAATTTACGTACGTGCGTACGTGCCAGGGTCCCTGCTTCTACGTGTATTACACAATTCAATACGTATTGTATCCTACAATCAATATTAATTTTGATATAAGTCTGGAGTTAGCTTTAAGAGGGGCTTGTACACGATTCTTGCTCTTAGTCGCCAAACCGTCTCTCGGAATTATTGTGCACGTTGGCTGTCAACAAAACTAAGGTATGTCTACCTTCCTTTCTTGTCAATTTCTCTCCCTTTTTTTCTGTCCTTTATCCCACTGCAACAAAAATTTAACAAGACTGGCAATGAAAACATACATTGCCATGGCGACGGAGGTTGCTGTTAGGGTTATTGTTTGCATGGTACTGCCATCATTTCATGATTTTGAGGAAGACTTGGTTCCTGTTAAGTCTAGACAGATACAGTGCACTCCTCCCCTGAGTGTATAGTGAACGAGCCCCGGGGTCACAGAAAGTAGGGCCATCCGGGGCAGACAGGCCTTCCCAAGGGTTTCCAGGAATGTGGGCATAGATGTGGGTCAGAGACATGCCTTTGGACATTCCATTCCTGCGGACAAAATGCCTGTACCATTCCTAGAATTCTTGCAAACTGCACACAATACTGTACCATTAGTCTCCTCCCTGAAACATCGCCAAAAAGTGTAGCGCTCTTGGCTGAAGCTTAAAGAGACATTATGTAAGATTTTTGCGCCAAATTTTTAAATAATT